GGGGGCAGAAAATGGAAATGAAAGCAGACAACAGAACATTGCTTGAGAGCAGGAAAGGAGGTGAAAGGAGACAATTTTAGAGAAGAAAATTGTTCGGTCGCTACCCGGATTCGAACCCGGGACCTTTGAATGAGAGGCCAACACCTTAACCTCTAGGCCACGAGAGCCCCCTTTCCTCCGGGTGTCCATAATTTCTTCCCCGTGGTTCCAGCCCCTAGACAATTACATGATTACTTCTGGCAAAGAAGCTAATTACTTCCGATGAATCCAACACCTAGCCAGTTCGGGTAGCTAGTCGGCTTCTAGCAGCTTCAGGATCCAGGATATCCTCGATTTCGACATTCGAAATACGGCGAGGCACCAACATTTTTCTTTTCAGAAATCAATTTTTAAAACTGGAAAAAAAAGGTAATTGGTAACCGTTGGCTAACGTAAAGAACAATCGGAACTTTTCCTCTGTAGCACTAACCGCCAGAGTCGGTTTCCCGGAATCGATTCTTCGCCCAGCTGTTCCGAGAGCAGAGAGGTGAGAAGAAGTCAGCGGACCGTGGAATCATTAATATTGTCGTGTGGCTGGCTCTGTGTGGGAATGTTGCAACCAAAGATCGTGTAGTAGTAGTAGAGAATCTTTGCTGCAACTTGTGGGAACACGGTCTAGAACAGCGTCTGTCGTTCGGGAAGAAAAAGCTCCACTTTCTTCTCATGGGTGGTTGGCAGGTGCTCTGGTGTGGTTTGCTCTTTCTTTTCTATCAAACATATGTCGTCCTTATCTCCCCTCCTTCTTTTTTGTGTTTGTTTCTTTCTTGTAGCACCTCTATTCTTCGGCACTTATATGGCCTTATTGTGTTGCAAGTGCCGTAAAACGGCAGGGGGGGGGGGGGGGGGGGGGGGGGGGGCTGTGATTAGATGATGGTATAGGTTTGCTGAACATGTAGATCACTGGTAAAATTGAAGGCAAACCAGGGGCCCTCATTCAAAGGTCCCGGGTTTGACTCCGTGTAGCGACGGGGAAATTTTCTTCTCTAAAATGTTCTCGTTTCACCTAGCAATGTTCTGTCGTCTGCTTTTGTCTCGGAAAAAAATCTCCTGCTCTGCTCAGTAGGAACCCTAGTTGTGTCAGAGAGTTTTTCAGTAATTCTGTAAACCCTCTCTGGTCTCTGGTTGTGTGTAACCTGGGCTCCTAGCTGCAACTCCCACAACATAACACACACACAAGGGTCGGTGGGCAACAGGCTTGAGGCAACGGTACGGTGGTACGGTTTTTTGGTTGTTGTTGTAGTGGTGGTTGTGGTGTTGTTGTTGTTGTTTTGTTGTTGTTGTTGTGGTGGTGGTTGTGGTGTTGTTGTAGTTGTTGTTGTTGTGGTGGTGGTGGTGGTTGTGGTGGTGGTTGTGGTGGAGTATGTTGTTG